TGTGTAGTAGAAAAAAGCACAATTTTCCAGATTAATAGCGTCAACGCCCTTTAATAAATTCATTTTAACACTATTTCAAAATTAAAAATTTCAAATTCATAAATTATTTTTATCATACCGCTCGTTTGGAAAACAAAATTCACAGATTTAATTAATATTCTGGTATTTAATTGATTTTAATAACTTTTAAAAAGATCTAAGAGACATTATAAACTCCTGAAAAGTGCACAAAATTTTGTCTATTAGAACCCACTGCCACTAGAATTTACAAGTAGAATAATTGTTATTCCTACCAAATAAATAATTTACGACATCTACCATATGATTAGCTTTTGCCAGCCAGTTCGCTACGATCTCCAAATTGTAATGATTTGTTTTCAACTTTCATTTTTTTTTTTTTTGAAATTATTGTTTATGAATTACAAAAGAAAAATAATGTTGAATATTACAGAGTATTTCAATAGTTTAAGAAAAATTTCTACATTAAGTTGTAAGTGGATGTAATTTTTTTAAATTCACTGTCTCTACAAACATACATACAAAATTAATTAATTACATGGGAAACAGTCTATGATTTCATCATGAAAATTTCTTGTTTCAACATGTTTATTGCATAATTTCTATCATAAGAAACAAAGAAAAACTTTTTTCGAAATCAAGGGGAGAAAAAAAAAAAAAAATCCTTTTCCTTTTTTTTTTTGCACTAAATATTTTAATATTTTTTGACCTCTTTTTCCCCTTTTTTTATAGATAATATATGAATGTACAAAAATATTCATATATGTATTTATGTAAGTACAAGTAAATATGTATTTAAATATAAAAATGTGAAAATTTTGTACGTTTTCATGTAGGTATATTTATTTTGCATTTGTTTACATAAATAATTTTATATATGTATGTAAAATGTGGATGTAGTAATTGTACAGAATATTTTATATAAAATAGTAAAGTATGTATATTAGGGAAAGGATATTTATACATCTTCGTACATATGTACATACTATGTCTAATATGAAAATAAAATAATGTAGTAATTATAATGGGAAAAAATAACACGCAACGAAAGTTCCTTAAATATTTGGTTTATGTTTTTTTTTATTAAAGTGTTTGGTTTTGGTATACACATATTATATTAAGTAATATAATTTTGAATTGCGAGGAAAACGAGGAAATTTCAAAAATAAAAATGTGATATGAGTTGATTAAAAAATAAAGTCACTTTTATGCCAACGTGTGTTCTTTTTACCTTTTAAATGTTTTTATTTTTTCTTTACAATTAAATTCTTATTTTTTCGTTTTGTTGTAAAAAAAAAAAATAAACGCTGGCACAATTTTACACAAAAATATACTTATATATATGTACCTTGTATTCACAAATTTGTGCATACATATATGTTTATGTACATGTAGATTATGTTTAAGTTCATGTTTGTATACTTAGGTTCTTATACAAAAATTTAAGATTCACGTTGAAAGAAAATAAATACAATCGCAAGAATAAACCTACACACATACAAATTAATGCTTTGCATTGGTGTTTTTTTTGTTTTTTTTTTTAATGATAATAATGATGATGATTGTACTAATAATGTTACTGATGATGATGATGATGACAACGACGATAATAATGGAGTTTCAATGCGCAAGACCTTTAAAACAAAATATTGTTCTTTTTTTGTTTAAGCATTTTCTTTATTTATTTTTTTTGTAGTTTTTCTTTTCTTTTTGGTATTTTTCTCTTTAAGATTTTTTACATGATTACTTTAAATTGAAGCAAAACATAACTTTAACACAACAAATATTGAGTTGAGAAAATTTCGTATATTTTTTTTTGTTTTCTTTTCTTTTCTTTTGTTATTTCCTTTTGTTTTCTTTTCATCATTTTTTATAAAATTGAAATTTATATTTAAATCTTTATCTCTAAGAAAAATATGTATACTATATGTACCTGCATAAATATTATAATTTTGTTACAGGATTTCTATAAGGTAAAGGGGTACAATGTCGTGGTACATGTTATACAAAAATAAAATAGTAATTTTTGTTTGTTAGCTATTTCAAGCCAATGGTGCACAGGTTATGGCACTCATTAACCAAAGGACCTCGGACTAAAAATCCTCAATATTCCATTTTATATAACTTTTAAAAATTTGACGGATTTTTTGAATTAGTACTCTAAGTGCTTTTACTCAAAATGATTTTTAAATTTCAAATGATACTTCTTTTGTCAATTGTTTCCCTGTTTCATAAATACATTTTGAATAGCCCTACAAATTAAAAATAACGTATCGAATTGAAAGGTTTCATTCTACTTGTTTTTATCTTTTGTCACATATAAGTAAGTAAATATAAAGAGAATAACGGTATTAAACTATAGTAAAAATGCTTTAAAAATGCAAAGAAATGAAAAAAAAAGTTATAATTAATGTTATTAATTTATTAATAATTTTAATTGGTGTATTTTTCGCAAAAATTAAAAAAATATCCAAAACAAGAACCATTACATATAAATGATTCGTGTCTAGAATATTTTTTTCTCTTTAACTTTAAATTCCTTTACTTGGAGTTTTTCATTAAAGCAGAATTAGGTTAATTATAGGATGAAACGAAAATTTTTAAACGATGAAATTAAATTAGTACCTACTAAAACCTTTTGAAAACTTTTTTCTTCAAAAATGATTCTAGAACAAAAAACTATGGGTCAATAACATAGCCGTTTACCTTAATACGTATTTATTTACGTTTATATATGTATACATATATATATTTTATTATTTATTGTTGTAATATTAATATAATTTATTTATTTAGATTTTGACCTGATTTGCAGTATAAAAGGATCAAAAGGAAGTGAAAACAAACAATATAAAAATAGTAATAAAAATTTAAATTATTATTTATTTTAAATATTTTCCTTACACGACCCTGTACAAAATTTAGGAAGTAATTTTGATAAATAAATGAAATTTCATTTTTATATATTAATTTTAATTTTTTGTTTTAAAATGACAAACATTTCTAATTAAATTCAAATGTTGAATATGTGCCGCTTTAATATCTTTAACAGACTGACTTATTTACAAAATTATATAACATAAATTATATATTTCTGCTTAAGAATTTCAATTTCTTATTGCTAAAATTTCAATTCCTTACTAGTAAGTTGAAAAATGAATTCTTATATATTGTAAATTCAAAAATCGAATTAAATTTTTAAATTATAAAAAAAAATACTTTAAATTACGGCAACTTGTCTTTGCCTTGGTTTGAAGTAAATTAAAATTTTTGTTAATTTTTACTGACACACATTTAGGTCTGCTTTTTGAAACAAAATATAAAATTTGAACTTGAACTTGAAAATTAAAATTTGAATTTAAATTTCAACTAGGTGCCTACAAACCTACCTAAATAAGCATGTTCCTGTAACCAAAATTTATATTTAAATAATGAAAATATAAATAAGACAAAAAAAAAAACAAAAGTTACACGGTTCTAAAAATATATGGGTTGGAAGGTCCTTGCGGAAACCTAACTTTTACTCTTATAAAACACAGCTTCCTCGATTGGTATTATTTTAAACGATAGACCTATTATGATTGAAATAACTCATCAACGTTAATAAAATTAATGCAAATATGAAACAAGCGGGATAAATTAACGAAAAGCAAGATATTACTCAATTCTAAAATATTACTCAATCCCTTTTTGATTTGTCCATTTTCTCTAAATATACTCGTAATTTTTCTCAGAGCACGTAGCTCTAAAATTTTTATTATGTTGGCCTCAATAATAGAAAAAAGTCACAAATTTTGTTTTACGTACTTATATGTATACTTGTAAATGATTAAGTCAATTAACATTTATTCACAATAAAATTTAATGTACCTACCAATCTAAATTATTAATTTAAAAAAAAAATTTCTTAAAAAGCAAATTGGATATTAACATTTTAATAATGTTGTACGTGAAATGAATTTATGCTTCTTTGTTTTTTTTTTCGAATATCAAGTTTAGATATGGTGGGTTTTTTTACTTTTTGAAAATAAGAATTTCTTATTACAAGGAAGATAGGCACCTACTTATTACTGGGTAATATAAAAAATAACGATAATTACCTATACCAGTTCAATTTGATATTGAAATTCAAAGTACGGGAAGACCTACTGAGCGCTCAGAACAACTTTTTCTTAACTTATTTTCACTTCTAATAGAAGACGAAGTTCGTTTTTTTCAAAAATTACTGAAGTTAGGCACATATTCAAAAAAGTTAAAAGTTTTTCAGAAATCAGTTCAGAATTCAGAAATAGATAAAAAGGTTAATTTTGATTCCTTTTTTCAGAATTACGAATAAATGGCTTATTTTCATTAGAAATAAATGTGAATCACTTATTTTTTTTAATAAATTTCTAAAATATTTAATAAATAATTAAAAAAAATTTAAATTATTTTTTCAGAAACACAATCAATTCACTTTTTATATAATACATATTTGGCTATTTAAACAAAAATGTTGTTTTTCAGAATATAAAACAAGCATTTTATACAATCTATGTATACATGTATGTATATATATATATAGAAAACATATATCTTTCTCATACACTTCTTCATTGTACAAACACATATTTCCCAAAATATTATATAAAACCAGCCACACTACAAAGCAGCTTTTCAAATAGCTACCCCTTATTATTATTCTTTTAAACAAAACTATTATCTTATATAGAAAGCACGCAACAAAAACAAAATAAACAAAAAAAAAATTCAAAGCACTTTAATTTAAAAAATTATATCTTTGACTCTTTCATACACATATACCTCATACGTACACATTCGCACACATTGAATACATATCCGAGAAAAAGCAAAATATTATAAATATATTAAAGCGGACAAACGGCAAAAGAAAAAAAAAAGCTCTTCGCAGAAAAAAAAACCAGAACTAAGAAAATAAAATGAAAAAAAATTTTTTTTTTTAATTTTAATTCTTCTCTTACCTAACTATTTATTTAAAAATTAAGAAATTGTAAATCCATGTAATCCAAAAAAATAAAAATGAACTCCGAATTCCAAAATTTTATTTTTCGAGTAATTTTTTTTCCAAATTTTTTTTTAAAATGAAAACTAAAATAATTTCTTTTTTTATGAAAAAAAAAAAATTAAATTCTTTATATTTTTTCTTATTTTATATTCACTTTTTCGAAATATAATTTTAATTTCTTTCTATTTTTACAAATAATGTAATAATTACGAGAATTATATATTCTTTTTTTTTTGTTTCAACTTAAATGCACAACTCTATCATATACACATAATACATACATTTTATATGTACACATATATATTTCGATTATTAAATATATACATATACTTATTCATATATGTATGCATAGATGTATGTATATTTAAAATTTCCACTTTTGAAGCACTCGCGTTTTTTTTTTTTTTTGCTTTTTTCTTCTCTAAATATATGGGTAGCGAACAATTTCACAAGCAATATATAAAAATTTTTTTTTTCTTATTTTTTCCTTTTTTTTTCAATATTCATAAAAATCTTCACCAATTTTATTTTATTTTAATTCAAATTCACAATATAATTATATTTTCAAAATTTAAATTTATTAATAAACATTTTTTTATAGTTTTGAAGTTAAATATAAAACGTTTTAAAACACAAAAATTAGCTCAAAAAAATGAGAAAAAGAAAAATAAATGTTCAATCCTTATAAATCCATTGAAATCTTGAAACTCAATGATGAATAATATGGCGGCTAGTCGTCGCTTATTGTTTCATTTTCATTTCATTTCGATTATACTACTATAAAACGGCAAAACGGCATAAAAATAGCGACATATGCAAAGCATTTAATACATTGTGTAGTTGTGCATGATGTGTGAATTTAAAAAGAAATAGAAAACACGTCGTCGAATTAAAATATGAAAGTATGAGTATAGAAAAAAGATATTTTTTCCTTTACTTTTTCACATGTATAGTTGTTGCTTGCCTTACTGAAATTGAATTTATCACATTTAGCTTGGTACACTACTAGAACAAAAAAAAATTCTTCTGCACTTTTTATCACATTAAAAACAAATTTAATATAAATTTTTAATTTGTTTTTTTTTTAAATAAATTTTTATTTTCTTCCTTATATTTTTATTGGCAAATGAACAAATTTTTCTATTAATTTAAAATTATACATAAGTATATTTTTTTTTTCAATTTTTAAAAGCCTGCTAAACAAAAAATTTTAATATTTTTAATAATTATCATTAAGATTTTTAGTAGGCATATTATCGTCCAACTTTTTGAGACAAATTTCACTTTCATTTTTATTAAACGAAATTTTTTTTTATATTTTTGAAACATCGAATTCATTTCAACTGCATTTTTATTAAAAATTACAAAATTTTTATTAAATACTGTTATTACTCAAAAATAAGCGATATGAATTAGCGTTGAATCAAAATACACCAATTCCTTAAAATAATTAATTCTTGTACATCATACTTTTTAAAATATTAAAATTTGAATTTTAATTATCAATTAAAAATAGCTGTCTTTTTAAATATTTTGCAAATTATTGAAATAATAGTCACAAATAAATAATTATGCACGTAATTCAAAAATTTAATTTTAATTTATTAAACATCTGGTCACTTACTATCTCACTTAATAACAAGTTGTTTAAAACCGGTTACAATAATTTTAAAAAACTTATATTTGAACAACATTTTTTTTTTAAACTTGTTTGATTTAAAGCAAATTTTAAAAAATTAAAAGATAATACAAAAACTAATTCCAATTTGCGGTAGATGGTTACCTTTTTTTTAAATAATTTTTTTACCTTTCACCTTTTACCTTTTTTTTAATTAATTCTCTAAGTTGAATTTAAATGCATACATACATAGCTTCACATTTAAATATTAAATATTTTTCATTATTTTTAATCAAATACACATCTTACATAAACATTTTTGGACTCAATTTCATAGCTGTTAACTACTGAAACAGTTTATTTTCAAAAATGCACTCCATTTTAATTAATATTTTCATTTAATTATATAACGTTTTCATTTTTATATATTATTTTTTAAAATTTGTTAGTTTCCGTTTCATTTTTATTTGTATCACAAAATAATTGTAGTTAACGACAAACAGCCATTGTTATTTTATTTTATGCCACAAAAATAACGCGTAATTTGTGCCATAAAAAAGGATAGATATATTTTCGATAAACCAATTTTAAAAAACAAATAGTACGCGTGCGACGTTTTCCATCAATTTATAAAACGACAACGATACTTTTTTCCATTTTCGAGAAAACAACAACACAACGGACGCGACAAACTGCATACGAATGCAACATTAAGCGTACCAATCCATATAATGCCACAATTTTATAAACCGTTGTATGTTCTATTGTAAATAATATACTTCATAGTTTTCTTCACCAATTCTGAGTTTGATTACAATCCTCAAATTGTTTCAAGAATAACCTAGAAAGATTAAAAACATTAGTTATGATATGGACATGTATATAATTGATGTTATATGTATATAGTAATACTATAATAGATTTAGCAATTAATTTTTTGAGTAGTTTTAAGCATTCTAATATGAAGTAAAAATTTTATACTAAGTTTGAACTTGCAATTCTTGACATTATTGAAAATTTCAGTTAAAAAAGCGTAGGTTTCAATAGTAGGTTTTTTAATCTCTTGAAATGATATAATATGCAATTAGGATTGTTGCAAATTATATTAATTTTTTGAAAGATTTTTTAGATTAAGGAATAGATTTCATAAATTTATCCAATTTATTCTTCTAAAGAACTCTCATTGAATTGTTAATAGTTTTTATATATATTATTCATTTTTCATATTTTCTGTTACCAAAAGGATAAAGAATTCTTACTATGATTCAAAATTTTAAGAGCCATCATCATATTTAGAGCCAATATTTAAGAGCCAATATAGGCATAAATAATATGTGTTTCTAAGTTTATGCAACTGATTCTATGTATTCAAACAAAAAAATATCACACAAAAAAACTTTAGAGTTGTTTTTTTTAATTTATAATAAAAAAAAAGTGTTCTATTTTATATAAGAGCTAAAATGATGTTAGCGTTAAATTAGGAGATGCCATCTAATTACTAAAAACCAATTTCACTATAGCAAAATTTAAATTAATATTTAAATTTTGATAAAATTAATTTTAAGATCAACTGGTGCAAATACCAAAATTTAGAAACATTTGAACTATTTACTTAATCCTAAAAGTAATTTTATTTAATGTACTGTCAAATTAAAGCAGCTTCTTGTTATGAAGTTTATTAAAACAAAGCATAATTATGTATTGATGGAAATCAAATAGTGAAACCTATTTAATGTTTGAATATAAACTTTACAAAGAATCATTTCTAATTCTAATGTTACGCCATTTAACGTAGTCTTAAAAGTATTTAATTATTGTATGTATCTTGTAATTGACCATAGTTCAAGAATTGAAAACGTTATGAAGAATAAAGAATTGAAGTTAGAGGATTATGCATTTAATTTCAGGTGTCACACCCAGAAAGTAAAACATATCTGTACTTAATTTGAAATAAATGCTTTCTTTTATTTATATTTTTTTTTAATTAGTGTGCTGCAAGTCAAAAGTTCACTTTTTTGAAAAGTGAGAATAGCCATAATTGTGAAAGAGGACAAAAATTTTGGATTGATTATTAAAAAATTTGCATAATTTAATGAAAATTCGACAACGTTATACATTATACAACTATACATTATTTAAAATAATATTTTGCTATTTATACCAAAAAAACTTACCCAACTTTTTAAATTTCCTTAAATTATTAACAAACGTATTATCCATTTGGCTTTATATTTACTTCTCATCGCTTGACATTTTAATTTTTCTTTCATGATTATGAAAATTTGTGAAAAAATTATCTTATGATCCATTCCAGCGATTAATTTCTCAAAAAATACAACTAAAATTTAAAAATATTCATTATTATATTTCTTTTTTTCTTTTATATTTGTTTTACATTACATGCTACTATTATCTACTATTGTTTGAAAACAGCTGAGTTTATTTCTAATAAAATTTACAATTATAAAAAGATGTTTAAACGCTAATGTTTCTCTCAATTTATTCCTGTATAATACAATATTCCATTTAATAAGTTAATTCAGTTAAAAAATTTCTTAAAAATCTGATGAATTCTAAATTAGAGAAGTAAATTTCTCAACTTTTCCACTTTATTCAATTGACAGTACCATTCCATAATGTATAAAAAAATGGCATATTTATTAAAAACATGGCAATTGTGAAAATTTCTATAGTGCAAGATTATTGTTTAAATTCTAGATTAGAAACCAAATATTTTATGTAAATATTCAACTTGGTCTTATTGCAATTTGGTTGAATTTTGTATTTACTTCATATATGTAAGTTAGTTATATGAAAGTCATCGATATGAAGATATGAAGTTTGATCATTATTGTAAAAATAAGTAAAAAACGTAAAAACTAAACAAATTTTGTTTCTTTGTTAATATTTCAAAACTCACCTGTTGACATTCAGAAAATTATAATTTCCATTTTACAATTTTACTTTTATTTTAATTTTTATAGTGCCGAAATAATAACGAACAAGATATAAAACTTGCTTACAATTAGCAACTACTGTGTACTGTCAATTTTATAATCTGCTAAAATATTAAGAAACTTTTTTGAAGTTAAAGGATAGTAGCAGACGTGGAAAAATTAATACGTAATGACATTTGAAAATTAACAAAAAAGAGATTTAAATTTTCAAATTCCTATAAAGATTTAATTTTATTTCAATTACTTAGAAATATTTTGGGCAACTTTTTTCATTGGTATTTCAATTTAATTGGGCTTTGAAAATTTATCAACTGAATTAAAACCCGCCAAGCTTACAAATTAAAGTTGTAATAATGAAACCTATGAAAGAACTGCCAAAAATATATGTAGATCAATTTAATTTACATCGAAAAAATTACTATTAATTATCAATTTTGTTATATTAAATCATATTTTATTATACATAAGTACGTATAGAATGCATTGTACACTATATAGAAGTACATTTGCATGTATATTTTAGTGAAACTTAAGTAAAGCAAAGTAATTTCATTTTACAAAATACTAATGTGAATGATGGAGTCTTATTACAATTTTGGTATTCTTTGCGTATTTATTAAGAACACATGTATTTACTACAAAGAAATCAATTAGCAAATATTAAATACTTGTGGAACTATGTATATAATAAAACTAATCCAAAATATGGCAATAACAATTAAAATAGGCAATAAATTTAGATTCAAGAAGATAAAATCGAAAACAAATTTTATAATCTAATGTACATATGTTATAATAAAAAAAAAGCGAACTTGCATTTGCAGGAATCATAATTAAATAAAATAAAATTATTTTTTAATTTATGTACATATGTAAAAGAGGGACAAGATATTTTTATTAAATCTTTCAAATAATGAAATTAAAAAAGAAAAAAAGTTGAAGAAATCCTTGTGATTAGACTATTTATGTTAGCTAATATTTCCTTAAGCTGATACATCGGTTCTACAAACTCTTAACCGTATACATATATGTACATATATATCTGTGAAAGTACATTTTGTGCTTTTTTCATATTCAGTAGCACAATGTATTTAGATGTAAATTGACCACGTCTTTTGGGCAATTTTTAGTAGATACGTAAGGTACTTATACATGTATTTTATTAATATCGAAAAACAATTTTATATTATCTAATTTATGTTTTAACCAAAAAAGTAGAAACTAAATAGAAATGTAAAATAACATTACCATTTTTAAGCAAAATACATAACTAATACCAATCAATCCTTATAAGTATTTTTTCAATGGCATTTTTTCAATTAATATTCAATTAATCATGGTGTAAAACCATATTAAAAAAGACTCTTAAAAAGTAACATGCAATAAAACGATAGTTAATAATTATGTGATATTAAAATTTTGTTTTAATCTAGATCTGGATCAATTTTATATTCTAAATTATTTTTTAATACTAAAATTTAACTTACCTTCCATAAAGTAGTCCAAGTTGATAAAATAAGTTGTAAATATTTAACAAGAAAATTTTTTATCAAAAACATAGATCTAATGGTCTTATAATGCCACAATGATTCTTATTTAGAAAAATATTTAAAATTTGAAACTTTTAAGCTTATAGCTTAAAAGATCTGTTTTAATGTTTATTTGTTTTCAAAACCGATATTGCATTTATATTACACTGTCAAACAGTATATTTTTTTCACAAAAGTAAAGTAATAAAATTTTGACACTTTGCAGAACTATATATTTGAAGTATAAACTATCTTTTTAATATGAGCTACATCTTAGCTGTAGTGTCAACTTAAGTGTACATATACCGATACTGAGTTTTCACTTTGTTGAAGCACAATGCTACTTCCCAATTTCTCTATCAAATCTTAGTTTTTTAAACAAGCTATGGAATACGCCGAAGTCTTCTATAGACTTTTAAAAACACAAGTTTCATATAAAATAAGGCGAAATATATATAAGGTTCTGAATGTGCAAAGATTTGTCATTAAATACCAAATTTAGGCTCATAAAAAAAAAAACAGAATGTTTTTTTATTTTTTGTCAATATGCGAATGCATGTTGTGAATGACAAGACACTACTTGGATATTTATTTTATTTATATCGCAAAGAAAATTTCTTTAAATCAATGAATGAATTTTTGCCATCATAAATATCGCAAAAAAATGTATTTTTTAATAACAAAGATTTACTTATCAATCCTTTATTTTAAAAAATCAAAAAACACAATTTAAGTGATATTTAATGTTTCGACAAAAAAAAAACAGTTTTTTCAAACAACATAACTTTTACATCCATGTAAGCTATTTAACTCCGTTATTTCGAAAAAAGAGATTGTAAAAAAATTAGTATGTATCTATCTTTATCTCATACCGATTTTTTGGCGTTCCCTTCAACACATTTTGAGATTGATTTATTTACAAAAATTTTTACATATGTTTTTAAGCAATACAGCAATATACTTACTAACGTCAATTATTGTCAATTGTCACAGGCTACATTACACTTAAATTTAATTTCGTCATGACAGTGAAATTGGTATTCTTAAGTTATTAAATTAAAATAATATTGTTATAAATCACTATTAAAATATGAAATTGGAAGGAAAGATTAATATCAATGACATTGGTAAATTTATTATAACGGAGAGAACGTTACCCAAACAACCAAATGAATACTTGGAAGTTTCTTTTCCTGCAAAACTCACGTGTGATGTATATAGATAAACAACTTTTTGAAGAACGTAAAACAAAATTATAACTTTTATATTTTTTACAGACAGAAGCAGTTTTTGATAACATTAATTTTCCTTTTGCTATATCGTCAGTAAAAAGTCATAAAATAAAGTCGTTACAAATTCTAGGGAAAAGTGATGAAAAGGAGGTTCATGAAATAGTTTTAGAAAATGTAAATATTTTATTAATCTTAACTCACGTACCAATTGACATATTATCAACTCGCTAACGATACATTTTCAATAATAACTGCTATACATATATTATTTTAGGAAAACCAATTTAAATTTTTACCTGGTGATACAATTGGCATTTTGCCAGAAAACGATGAAGAAGAAGTAGAGTTTATCCTAAAGCGTTTAGATCTTCTAGAGAAGGCTGATATCCCATGTAAGATTCAACTTAAAAATGTATCGGCAAAAAGTGTGAAAATTCCAGTTCATATACCAAAGCAAACAACATGCAGAGTGATTCTTACTAATTTAATAAACTATAAGTGTGTTCCAAAAAAGTCACTAATTTGCTCTCTTCTAAATTACTGTGAAAATGAAACGGAGAGACTTTTTTTGGAAACTCTTTCCAGTAAGGAAGGAAATGAACTATACAATGATTTAATACTTAAGAAATCAGTAAACGTTTTTGATATTTTAAAAGCCTTTGAATCATTGCATCCGCCATTAAGTTTACTTATAGAACATTTGCCAAGACTTTTACCACGACCGTATTCAATCTCCAACTCTTTTTTGAACAATCCTAAGGAAATGAAAATAATTTTCTCAAGTTTTATAGATAATCGTGGAATTACAACAAAATATCTAAAAAAAATATATAATGTTAATAGTACAAAAATCGTAAACCTGTATTTTCGTCAACCAAGCAAATTTAGATTTGTTGAAGAATATTATTCTAAGGATATTTTGATGATCAGTGTTGGATGTGCAGTATCTCCTTTTTTAGGCTTCTTGGAAGAAAAATCATACTTAATGGAGCAGGGTTTGGAAATGGGTCGCTGGTTTTTATATTGTGGTTTTAGGTGTAAATCTACGGCAATTTATCGAAGTCGTATTGTTAATTATGAAAAGAATGGTGTTTTAGAAAAATATTATGAATGTCTGTCAAAAGAAGAATCAACGGAATCAGAATATGTTCAAGACGCCATTAAAAAATCTCAGGTTGAATTTAGTTCGCTTGCATTAAGTAATAACAGTATTCTGTTTATTTGTGCTGACGGAAATTTAATATCAAAAGATATTAGAGCATGCATACAAAAATGCGTATTCCCAGATATCGATGAAAGTGATTCCAAAGATATAATACTTGACTGGATTAAAAGTGGAAAATATATTGAAGAAATATGGATTTAATAGTGTGCAAAAAATAGAGTGATAGTTTATTTAAAATTCATGCGCTATTTAAAAATAAAAACACGCTAATTTAATAAAAGGTTTTTCTTTTTTCTGCTAACATAAATACGTAACTGTAAAGAAGGTACCTACTTACCACTTGCCAACGAGTGCCAACATATATTATGATCTTTTCTATGCACGTAATTTAAAATTCTTAATTTCTAGTAATTTTAAACTAAAAATTGATCATCATTACCCAAACTATCGAGTAATTTATTCTGTGAGCATTAGTCATCTTTCACAAAAAGGTCGTTTTCTTTTTATCAAAATTCATGATTATGAACTTTTCAAAGATTTCGATTCTCGAAAAAGAAAATTTGCAAAATAATAAAACGAAATCATTCGATCTTGTAAAACTTAATATTCGCGATGCCGTATTAAATTTTAACTTTAAACTAATAAGATCTTAAGATAAAAATAATAAGATTTGTCATGAGCATACTTCTTTTACGAAAAATTATTAAAATTTCGACAACTCGATTATTTTTAATACAGATATTTTAAAGCGAGTCTCGGGGCTTATTGTTTATTAAAATTCGACTGAATTGATTTTTTTAATTTTACTTACAAATATAAAGCAATATATAAAAGAGAAGAACAAAAAATTAAATAAAAAATAAGATTATTTAGTGTGTATTATTTATGTCCATGGTTTTATTTAACATTTGGCGACACTTGCTGTGCGAAAAGGCAAGGCTCTTTTAAAAATACAGTATATCACTATATTTATGTTAATAAGCAAATGTTGCCAAACCAGTTTATTCATAAACATTTCTAAATTATCAGCGACAAAGTGAAATTGTCATGAACGACGCAGCTAAATCATATGAAATACTTTGCTTTAATAAAATAATTGTATTAAATTAGAATTAGATATTTAGATAGATTAGATATTAATTGTATTAAATTAGAAATAGAAATTTTATATCAGAAATTAATTAAATTTGAATTTCGGCAGTGTTTCAATATATGCTCAATAGTTCTCATATTAGCTTCTTAAGAATTTCATATTTTGTCTATAAGTTTTACAAATTTTTAGTAGATTGTCTTGTATTATTTACATTACCATATACCAAAGAAAGTTTTAAAAACATTCCGGTAGAGTGTTTTTTTTAAGTCCTCCTTTTGGAGTATGAAAAATTTTTTTAAATGGCAGCTCTGATTTATATATAAAAATTAAAACTATGCATTTAGCAGGTATATAAACTATTTTGCGCTTTATGAATATATGTAAATTCTAACGGTTTCAGAAAAGAAAAAAAATTTTAAAGATTCACATTTGTTAAATTTTAAATACGGGGATTTACGATAAAATATTTTATTTTTTAATAGTCAAAATAAAAATTGATAAAGTGATTAAAAGTTGTTAAAAAGTTTTTGTATTTTTATAGAAAAAGTGATTTTTTATTTTAGATAGTACTACAATTATTTAAACGATGACGTCGAAATCACCTGAAGCTCAGGCTTCGATAGGTGTTCTTCGAGCTCTTTTAAATGTTCAAAAACACCCTATACGATTATCTGTATTGCTGAAAGAATATAAGGAAATGGAAGGTAGAATTTTACCTTATAGACAATTTGGGTTTAAATCGGCTGAAGAATTTTTGAAAATGTCAGGGGAATTTTTAATGATGTTTGATCAAGGAGAGGTAGATTTGTGTACATCTAAAAACTAGTTATTCTAACTTTTTTTTAAAATTGGTGAAAACTTTATATTCATAGGTGCTAGTTGGAGCTCGTCCAAACAAAGATTCTGCTCATATTGTTAAAATGGTTGCATGTCAAAAACCATCTCGAAAGAGATCAAACAGAACTTATAGTAATAGAAATCGAATGCCAAAAAGGGATGTTCAAAACAATACTTCATATTTATTTCAGGTTTACCGAAATTTTGCTTCATTAGCTAGTTATGGTAATTTGGCGAGAAGAACTGCAAGTACGCATTAATTTTTTATTAAATTGAAAACTACTACATAAAATATTTATTTCAGAACCAGTCATGAGAATTAATAATTTTGTATCTCAAACACAAAATTCAAAGCCTCAGAAATTCGTAACCTCAAAAGTGAATGACCGGTTAGTAGCAAAAAATTTAGTGCAAAAGGACGGAGAACAACTGAAAGAAAAACCTGTTCAATCAAAAATATCGCCATTTCTGCAGGTTATTCCAAAAAAAGATGGTTCCCAAAATTTAACAACAAGTAAAAGTAGTGCCCACAACTTAAATAAAGTTGGTGAAACAAGTTCCAAAAATTCAGAACGAGATGAAAATTCAAGGTATAATTTTGCCACTACAAAAGAGCATACAATTTCGGTGAGCGAGAGCGATTCTAAAATTTCTAATGAAAATAACTTAAACAATATGAAACAAAATGAATTTTTATGCAATAAAGCGCGTGCTTTAAAGAAATTGATAAATAATGTAGAAAATAATAGTTTTAAAAATTTGACGGAGCACACTGTTGCTGTTTCAAACAAGGAGAATTTGCAAACACCTTTTGAAAACACAATCATAGATCCAAATAAAGAAGTGTATTCAAACCTATTGACACCACCAGTTTCACCATTAAATGAAAAACTTGATGTGCAAACAAAACTATCTAGTGTATCAGCAAATGTTTTAACTGATACCACCGTTAGAGTAATAAATGAAAATAATAAAGATTTAGGAGAAAAGGTATAAATCAAACAAACGTACCCCATCTACTTGTATCTAATTTCGAAAATTTTTATTTTCTGTTTTATTTACTCTTCAGTGTTTAAAACCGAAAATTTCGCCAACAGAAAAATATGAATTTAACTTCAAATTAAATCCAGTAACGTCATTGGAACAATATTGTTTGGCACGTGGATTTGAAGAGCCTCGATATGATTCAAAATATTATAATGGATTGCTTTTCAGCGTAATGATTAATGGGAAGAAGTATACCACTTATCCGAAATTCTTCAATGATATGCAAATAGCCAAAAATGCATGTGCAGCTATTGCAATTGAAGAAATTAAATTAGAGGAATCTAAAATTGCAAAATACCCAGTTTCTACAAATTCTGATTCAGATTTGTTACTAAAAATTTATGAAGAGCTAAAAATCAATCATACAAGTGGTATCTTTGTAAAAATGTTTCCAAAGTTTTTTGAATTAAAATTTCAGCAAAGTTTACCAGATCATTGGTTTTCGTTAGTTGAAAGTTCGAAGTATTTTCTAATAGAATCCACAGTGGATTTCGAAAATGCAATATTAGTTGCTAATTTAAATCTTGAAGATTCAGGTAAATTTTACAGAATTTTGAAACCTTTTAAACTTCTATAACTTAATATATTTGTATTTATTCTAACAATAGCATTAATCCTTAATGTAAGAATATTATTGCTTAGAATAGAAATTTTGTAAAATGTATTTAGATAAAAACGTTAAAAGATTATTTAAATTAATTTTAAAAAGTTTTGATTATCTACATGAAATCCTAAAGAGTATGCATATAATATTTATGCATGTTTATGAAAATTACTTTTTTTTGTTTTTTACATAGATAATTTAGAAGAAATGAGCGGATCGATTCTTGAGTCAATAACCTTACCGTGGGATAAGAAATATTGGAATCTATATATAACACATTGCGAATCTCCCGCAACAATATGGGCTCGTATAATAGATAACAATTATAGTCAAAAGTTGGAAACATTGTTAAATCAAATTGAACAAAAAATGTTAAATAAGAAAACACAACCCGACTCAATATTGACTGGACAGCATTATTTAGTTTCAATGTCCGAGACGTGGCATCGAGTTTATTTGCAAAAAATGAATGATGAAATTAATCGTTGCTTATGCTTTTTTATAGACTTTGGGGATAAAGATTGGGTGTCAATTGATGAGCTCTATGTGTGTGATAAAGAATTTTTAAAACTTCCACCACAGGCCATATCATTTAGTCTTTTTGGTTTACAAGACTTTACTGAAAATCCAATTGCCAATAAGTGTCTTAATGAAACAATTATGGGTGCATCATTAGTAGCTGAAATTCTTACAAAGAAAGAAATTTATGAATCAAATGAGTCTAAACAAATTGACATTGTGTTGTATGACACGTCATCACATATAGATATTATTATAAATGAAGTTTTAATTGAAAGAATATGTGCTGGTGTGCCAATACCAGAATTAAAACAAAATAGTCCTACCAACGTCAATATTACACATATTACTGATAGGGGTGATATTTATTTACAGATTTTAGATTCTAATTTTTACTATCTACAGGTAAATTTTTATTAAAATATGGGTCGTAATATAACTTTGAAATAAAAAAAAATATGTTTTAGAAACTTATTTTGCAATTGATTGAATCAAAGTTCCAACATGATCAGTATAAAGTCAAGTTAGAAGAATTAAATCTATCAAATTTATATTTGGTAGCCGATGAAGGGAAATGGTATAGAGGATCTCTAGTTGATATTGATGTAAAAAATCGAAATGCAAAAGAATTCAAGATATTTTACGTTGATTATGGGCTAACAAAGCAAGTTAACATTTCAAATATATTTTCCTTGGAATCTCTGAGCACAGCTTTGAACCGCTACCCAAGACAAGCAATAAAAACAAAAATGTATAATATGCCACCGTCAAATGAATTTGTGTTAAATAAACTAAAATCTATGTTACCAGATAACTCTTTAGCTATAGTAAGTTATATTACTATATAAACGATTAACTATTATATCTTTTATATTTAGGTTAAATCAGTAGTTAATGAATTTAATTTAAATGGAATTCCCCAAGTAATAGTTTTTATACGAATTGAAAAGAATCAAAGTTTATGTAACGTTAATGATGCAATACGAATAGAATATGAGCTCATGTAAGTGAATTTTTTTATCAGTTTTTGAATCAGTTGTTTGAATTTTTAACAATTTGTTAATATGTGTTTAGCTCGAACGATGTAAGTAGTGATGTTTTAATTAATGAATCTTCATCATCTTCAATAAGTCAACCGACGCCAGAGTATGAAATGTTACCAATTGAATTACACTCAAATATTAATTTACCGGAAAAAGGTGAAATATTCAACGTTTTGGTAACGGTTGTGACAAGCCCTTTTGACTTTTATGTAAAAATGAATTTTTTTCTTGTTTTCTTGTTATTGCGAAATAATTTTATTCTAGATAAGACCCCAAGAAGACAGTTTGCAATATGAAAATATGATGACAATATTACAAAATCAATGTCAAAATAACAAGGAAGTCGTATCTGCTGATATGATAGAACCTGGTGAAGCTTATGCAGCATGTCTTAAAGATGGAATATATTACAGGTATTATAAACATGTATTATTTATTTTACGAACAAAAAAAGTAGTGAATCAAGTAGTCGACCAAAAAAAAAAATAATCATGTTTTTTAGATGCATCATAGAAAAGTCGCTGTTTGACAAAAAATGTTCCGTTTATTTTTGTGATCGTGGCGATAGGGATATAATTGACATTAAATCGCTCTGCTCATTACCAGGCAAATGTCGTGATTTACCAACACAGGCTATTAAAGCTAAATTACATGGTAAAAATATTTGAAATGCGAAAAATTGTTTTATTAAAATAAAAAAAAAATTAAATATATCAAATCTTTGCTGAAATTACAGACTGAATTTATAGAAAATATTATTTCTATGTTAAACTCAAAGATTTTATTTTGTTTGCAGGCATCATACCTATTAAAGAGATATGGTCACAAAAGGATAATGATCGTTTTTATGAGCTAACTGCAGGAAAAAATTTTATTGCAGTTGTAAAACATATTTTATTCGATCATCTTGATTCTTACAGAAATTCAAAAGTTTTAGAATTGAAATTGATAGATCAATCAAATGATGTAATAGTGCACGAAATTTTGCTGGAAGAAAATCGTGCAATTTTATCTTAATCTGATTTATTAAAATCTAATTTAGAAATTTTAAAATTTTAGGAAAATTTCATTTTTTCTAATATTTTTCTTTATGTTTATTCCTCTTCAATTTGATTAAATTAAATAATCAAAAGAACCGTATTTAATGTTAAAAGCAAGAAATTCTACTCAAACAGGATTCTTAAAATTAAAAACAATTGAGTTTACAATAAATATAATTCATTTTTTTATATTTATAGTGTAAATATTATCAATATTTTAAAGAAGTTTTATTTTTTTTTTTTTAAACTTTTAATAAAAGTTACGTCACAGTTGAGAATTCTTTAAAAAAATTTTTAATAATAACTTGAAACGAACACTTAATGTTAAGTTTATCAAAATATCCGTGAAATTAATATTAAATGTTAGTTATTTGGCAGAGTTCATTTTAAGTATGTAATATGTATATTGAATACTGTAACATTTTAAAATGTATTACGCTACATTTTGATATCATGAATTTTAATAAAAATCAAAGTATAGAAGTTACTTAGTATTTTACAAATATCTTGAAAATTGATATGTTAAAAATGTTTTTAAGAGTTTATATGTTAAAAATAAAGAGTTTATAAATTCTTTGAAATGAAATTTGTTCTCTATTTTATTTATAATAAAACACTAATTATTAATAAATTACATATTTACTTTGAAAATTTTCTTATCTTCGGGTTGGAAATGAGCGCAACCGAACAAATATCGATAATATCAACGGGTGATATCTATATATATTGCGATATGTATTAGTTCGTAGTTATTACGTGCACTGAAACTTCTAAATTTTAAAAGACTTTTCGCACAAACTATATATTTTACTTTTTAATATGTAATATAGTCGAAATTCAATCAATATCCCAATATTTTTCTATTATGCTCCTCTTCTAATTTATGTTTTTTCAGTAGTTATAAAAAAAGCTTAAAATTTCTTTAGAATTTTAAGAATAACAGTCAGTTATTTTTAAAATTTTTGCAGTTTGGATATATCTTAACCTGCTTGATTTTAAGATCTAAATTAGAACTGATTTATTGAAAATCCACATCGATATATGAGGTCCTCCTGAAAAGGCATTTAGTTTATAATGTTCATGTGTAATTTAAGACAATCTAATTTTCATGTGTAAGTGTAAGACAATTTATTTTGTACCGCCATTCTAAAAGCTCTAATCAATTCTTAGTAATACAGTAAATTTTATTTTCTTCCGAAAGAAAATTCTTTTGAAGTATTCACAAATTATTTTTCAGAGGTTTATCTCGTTTCTTAATAGATTTTTCGTATCACTGAAACCTTCTTCGTTCGTGATTTTGGTGCACATTTAAATACATGTACATATAAAAATTATATGGATTAACAAATTTATTTATTATAGAAATATTTAATATTTCCTTTTTTCCCAATTAACTCAAAAAAAAAAACCCAACCAAATAATTTAAACTATGTATGTATTTTATTTATTTTTATATATGGACACACTTATGACTTAAATCGAACAAATTCATTTATTTATATGTAATTCCTTGTTTAATATTTTTTTTTCTTTTTTTCATTAAAAAATTAAATATTTCTTAACTTAAATTGCGAAATTAATTATGGTTAAAAAATTAACAAAAATAAAAAAAAAATTTTTATATAATAAAATTTCGATAAAAAATTTTTTTTTTCTTAATGAATTTCTAAACAATAAATTTTGTATAAATGTTTGTATATACATATTTATTTATAAAAAATATGTATAATTATTGCAATATTTTTAATTTTCTAACAAACAAAAAGCATATGAATGCTTTTTAGTAGTGTACTCTGTATACAACATAAAATATTAAATTATCTTTGTTTTTTCATGTTTCTTTCTTAAGAAGTAATGTTTTGCCAAATTTATTTTAGTTAAGTTAAGCATTCTATTTATTGTTTTATTATATTAAGTTCTTTTAATTGTCATAAAATAGTTTTAAACCTTTATTTAAGAACACATAAAATTGTTAACTTATAACAATAATATTTAAATCGTACAGGAAAGAAATGGTCGGTACAGGAAAGAAATTATTGGATAGACTTTGGATAGAACACTTACGTCACTTATTCAAGTAATTGGTATCAAATCTTTAATAAATTTTTGAATTACTTTTCACTCCAAAAGAGATTTCCATACAAAATAGCGTTTTATTTACAAACTTTTGTTCACTATTCCGAAGTAGTTTGGAGTATTATACTTTTTTATAAATTTATAATTCGTAATTTATTTCTTTGTATGGATGTACCAATAGAATATGAAAATTTTCAGTTTTATATTTTGGAAAAATTAAAAATTATTATAATAATTTATGATATATACGAGTACAAAGCAAGATCCAAGCATTCATCCATTTAAAACAAAAAATTAAATTTTTTCACTTTTTCTTTTGTCATTAGTAGAGCTAAATTAAATTTCTTAAATTTAAAATTTCTTTTTATAATGATTTATGTATTACAAATAACTATAATAATATTTTTAGAAAATAAAATTTAAAAACAAATTCACATATTAAAAATGTTTGTATAATAATCAAAGTTTTTATTTATATAAAATAAATTTAAAATTACATAATATTAATTAAATTTATTTTTTTTTCCATCATTTATTTTCATTATTTATTTTTATAAGCAATATGCTTTAGAAATTATTCTGATTACTTATTAAAAAAAAAAAAAATAAATTTATTTCATTAGAAAACTAAAAAGAACATTAAAAAAGTTTTATTTTTTTTTTCTTTTCATATTTATATGTACAAAATTTTATTTAAAAAGAAAAATTTTATATATGTTTTTTTCTCTCTAACAACTTTTTGAAAAAAATTGTTTTGCATCAATAAAACAAGTATGAAAAAAAAATATAATTATCACTAAAATTTAATAATATAAGCTAAAAAATAAAAAAATAACTATATTTATATTTTTATGATTAAAACGCGATATTGATATTATATATTTTTGTTTGTTTTTAATTATAATGTCCAAAAAATATTTTATTATATTGTACGTAAAAAAATTGATTTGTGCCATTTACAATAAGAAAAATCATTGAAATTTTTATATTCAATTAAATTTTCAAATTTAAGTATTTACTATTTTTTATATTAAATTATTATCGCAATAAAATTTATAATATAATTATGTATTGTCGTATAAAATATTGAGTATAAAAATTGTAACATTATTATTAGATTAAAAAAAAAACATAAATTTTTAAAATTTTTAATTTATGATGTTTATATATTTTTTTTTAATAAAAAAGAAAAAATCATGGAATTTAATATTTAACATACAAAAAAAAAAAAATTTGTTTTGTATTAATTTTATACAAAATTGTAATTGATTTATAAATTTAAATTAAAATTAAATTGTAAATTTAATTACACAATAATATTTCACATTATTTTCTTCATTTTACTATACTGTGTATCAATATCATATTTTTTTTTAACGAATTTATTTATGAATATTTATATTATATATACAACTGAAAAAAAAATTATTATAATATATGCGCGTCAGTTACTTATTATTTACTTATTATTATAAATACAAAATTTCACTTAAAACATTTTGTTTTTTTAATAAAAATCACTTTTTTGGACTAAAATTTGAACCTAAGTTTAAATTGCAACATTATTTCATTTTGTTTCGTTTTATTTATAATTCAATTTCAACAACAAAAATTAAATAAAAAAATTTTTTTTTTTAAAACTTATTTTAAATACAAATTTTTTTAAAAGATTTGTTTTTTTTTTTGTGTTTCAATTATAAATTGTGTGTATTTTAAAAATTATTGTACATATCAAATAATATTTATAGTTTTTATTAGTTATACAAAAACCATTGTTTTATGAGACTTAAAATAGTATGAATGGACCAAATTGATTTTTAAATATTTTAAATTGTATTTAAGACATTTTTAAGATTAGTTTTTTGTTTGTTTATTTTTCTAAGGGAACCATATTGAATTCATAATATTTAAGTCTTTTAATATTCTTATTTTTTGATTATATAAAAAAATAGATTTTTATATAATCTTATTAATTAAGAATTATTTTAATTTTATTTTAATAGTGCATTGTATTTTTTAACTCTTATTTTCGTTCTTTGTGGAAATTTAAGTTTGTTTACTAATATTTTTACAATATATTTTTAAAATTAATTTTTTTTTTTCAATTTTTTTTTTTTGATAAAAAATACTGCTTTTTATAAAAATGTTTTTTTTTTTGTTTTTTGTGTGTAAAATATGTATATGTATAAAAAAGCAATAGTATTTTAATAAATTTTTTTTTTTTTTAAAGATAAATACAAAATATTTATCCAGAATTATTTTTTAATTATTTTTTTATATTTAGTAGACGATTTTACTTTACTTTTAATTTTTAGTCTTAGAATAAATTTTATTGAAATATAAATTTTATTTTATTGATTTTTATTTGATTTTAATTTGTTTTTTTTTTTTATACAAAAATTGAATTATTTAATTAACTACTTTTCAGAAAAATAAAATTTTTTGCAAAGAAATGAAAGAAAAAAATGTAAAACTATTAATTTTATTTAAATATTAAAATTATATATGTAAAATAAGGATTAACTGATGAATGACCGTTTTAAAAAATTGTAATCGATATAAAAATCTATGAATTTTAAATAATTTTCGTTATAAATTAAGAAAAAATAAAATGACCCTGATAATGTGAAAAAGATATTGTTTAAAAACATATAAAAATATTTCAATATTTTTATATTTTATTTTTAACAGTGCCAAAATCAAAGATTAACAAAATTTTTAAATTTAACATTCCTTGATTTCCACAATAAAGTAAGTACTAGAGTATTAGTATACAATTTAGATTATAAATATGAATTGCTAAATTGTATATTATTAATGTCATATCAATATGTATGAGAAATCAGGATTAATTTATTTCAGATAAGAATTTTATAGTATTTATATTTGTTAAGATTAAAAATATTCTTAACTTTAATATAGTTTTTCTTAAAACTTTAATATAATTGAAATTTTTATAACATAAATTGGTTTACAAAAATTTTAATATTAATAACATTTCAAAAAAAAAAGGATTGTTTGTTCATTGACAATCTAATTTATACAAAAGTCAAAGAAATGATAAATTTTTATGGGCGTTTTCATTTATTATCAAACTATAAAATAGTATACCACTTTTACAATAAATATCAAATTTTTTAATAAAACAAACCATAATAGTCATTCACCATAACAAAATTTTTTATAATATCTAAGTAATTAAGAAAGAAATTAATATTTGATTAGAAAAGTACAACTCATTTTACAACATATTTCAAAAAAAAAAAAAAGTTGAAATTCGGAAAAATTAAAAAAAAAGGAATGTTCTCAATACTGTTTCATTAATTTAAATTTAATTTCTCAGAAATATTTAAAAAAAAATATTAAAATAAGTACTGATAAAATACTTGTGTCAGAAAAAAATTAAAAATATACTTATTTAAAAAATTTTGTATATTATTTATAATTTTTAAAGTTTATAATTAAACTAAGTAATTAGTACATAATAATTATATCGAAATATTAATTATTTTATTGAATTCATATTATATAAATATAATATTGTAGAACACAAATTTTAAAATGGAATATGATGTTCATTATTGTATGTCTCTATTTATTTATTATTTGCCGCTATCAGAAAATTATTATTTTATATTAATATTGAATTTAAAAAGAAAAAAAAAACAGAATTACAAATGTTCATTAATTGAAATTATAGCTTATTTAAAAAAAACAATAATTTTTTAAATAAATAAAATAATTTAATTCGAAAATATTTATAGTTTTTTTTTTTGTTTTGTAACATAGCTATTTCTTTTTATTTTAATATTTTAATTTTAGTCAATATTTATGTTGTTACATAAAAATTTCATATCACATTTTAATAATATGTTTTATTGGCAGGAAAATTTTTTTGTATACGTATAAAAAAAATCGGATCTTACACCATTTATTCTTAGTAAATAATGTAAATTTATTATTTAAAATTTCATTATTTTGATGTTACAAAACAAAAAAAAAACTATATGCAATAAATTCGAAATTGTAAAATAATTATTTAAAAGCTAGTTTTAATGAATTTAACATTTTATTAAGCTTAAATATTTTTATTAATAATATAAAACAAATAGAATTGTTTAAAGAAAAGGGATGTTTTAAATTTTTTAAATACTGATAGCATTAAATTTTTTACTTATTTTATTTAATAAGAATAATTAAATAAATAAGCACACTTTTTTTTATTTTAAATTTATTTTTAGTTTTTTTTAATTACTTTATTTAATTTTTTTGTGTCTACCAATAATTTGTAAAACCTTATTACTATTTTATTTTTAATACAATTTTTTTTTTTTTTTTAATTATAAATTTGAAAGGCTTGGTGTAATATCGATAGTCTTATGATAATAGTTGATTTTTCGTTTCAGTTTTTTCTTTATTTTTAATTTTATTATTTAATAATTTTAATAAATTTTATTATCTTATCAAAACCATAAATTTTTATATTCCATTTTCTATAGTACTTTAATAAATTGAATTAATACAAAAAAAAATATTTTTTTTGGTCTTATTTTTAATATTTGTAGCAAAAATACAAATAATTTTCTCCATTTGAAATAATTATGATTGATTAATTGATTTTGTAGTCGGAATAGATTGATCCTCTAATTTTTGTTTATTAATTGTATTTAAAATATAGTTTTTTTTATGGTTGTCCTTCTTGAAAATAATTTTCAATTTGAAGATTTTCTTTTTGAGCCTAAAAATAAAAAAAATAAATAATTTATTATTAATAATTTAAAAAAATAGTGTATAAATATTATAAATATTTAAAATTTATGTAATTTTATATTAAAATTTTATTATACAGCGTCTACAGTTTGCATATTTAGTAAATAAGCAGATTAATTTGATATATTCGTGTATGTGCATTTGGATGATTTATTTTGAAAGTGATCTAAAAGTCTGTTTCAATTAAAAATGAAATATTGTACCGTTTGAATTTAATGGAATCAAAAATTCGGTTGACTATCTATTTTTGCTTTAAATTTAAATATATTATTTGTTTTCCTATCCGACAAAATAAGATTCGAAAAGTAATTTAAATAATGATAATATATTTAGTCACCCTATTATTTTGAAGTAAATATTAATTTACACTTTTATTATAAAATGGGATCTTTGTATGTATGCATGTTAAAATACTCTGGCATGTTAGATTTTTTTTTTTTTGTAATTTTTATAATTTGCATTCAATTTTCATTTAAAGACCATGTGCACAATTCATGATCTTCAAATATAATTTAATTTTATTATAACATATAAGCATATACATACTTTATATATTACAATTATTATGTCATTTAACTGTCTATTAAATAAAAGTAAATAATAGTATTACATAAGAGTAATGTTCATTAAGGGTTTTCCTTAAAACATTAAATTTAACGTTATCATGTGAAAATTTAAGATTATTTTTATTTTTTTTATTATTTTATGTTTTCTTGCAATAATTTTAAAATAAGTATTACAAAATTAATTTATAAATATCTTCATTTAAAGTTAGAGAAGATTTTCCACATGTGTTCAATGAGAACTTTGAAATTAAGTTTTTATAAAATAATTTTGTTTTCTAACGTGAAGTTGCGAAAAGAAGCATAAATTTGTAAATTTTATAATAAAATAGAAAAATTATTTATTAAAATTTTTTCTTTAATTGCATTTAAATTTTAGATCTATTTGGACATGGTTGATTTAATAAATTGTTCTAAATTAAAAAGCAAGGATGTAATCAAAGGAAAAACAAATGTAACACTTAATTATTGCAATTTGTTTAGGACATGAACTAGAATAAAACTCATGGATATCTGAAATTAATAAAAACTAATGAATTGAAGAAAAGAAAAGGCTTAAATAAAGAAACTATTTGCTTTTTTAGTTAAAGATCTACTTAAAAGAAAGCTGGTACTCAGACTCCAATAATTAATTTTTTTTGTAAACCTTTAGTGTCACCAAAATACTTTCATATAAGTAAAACAAAACATTTTAAATAGAAAATGGAAATTTATATTTCCACTTTGGAAAACTATTGTTTCATAATATCAATTGAAAAAATGTAATTTAATAGATTTATTAAGAGTAATTCTGCATTCTTGTACATAAATATTGTCAGTAATTTCATTAAATTATAATATCTATAATATTCTATAATTTTATTTACTATTACCATATTAAAATTTAAATATACACATAAATTATTTGATAAAGTAATTTAAAAATTAACAAAACTCAATAATATTTTATTATTAAATAATAATACTCGTATTTATTTTGTTTATTGTATTTTTTATCATTTATCATACATACGTTATATACTTATACGTATATATATAAAATTTTCTTATCAATTTGTTTTTTGAGCTATCAAAGTAGAAAAAAAATGATAAGAATTTCTATTTTTAAAGATAAATTGAATATTGCCAAGAATTCAAATTTACTTATTTGTTTTGAATTTTTTTTACGAATATTTTAATAAAACAGTTGTTGTATTCAGTATATTAAAAAATATACTGAATTTCTTATCATAATTGGCGTAGAGAATGAAAACTTTGGCAAATATGAATTTTTGCTAATAAGATTGGTGAATTCACCTAAATTTCATGCGAATAGAGTTGCCGATATTGTCGAATAAAAATTCGGTGTAAATAAGTAAGACGAATGAAAAAAATTGGTTTCTTACCGTACCAATGTTTAGAATCTGGCAAAGAAAAGCATTTCAGTCGATTTGCATAGTAATTCGTTTCGCCGATTGTGAGAAAGAATTCAATTTATAGTTATTGTAGTTTAATTCCTCTGAAAGCAACCGATTTTCTCTACATCTGACAAAATACTTTTTAGAATGAATAAAAAATATGTTATATCAATAGCAAATTAATCAATAAATATTATTAGGAATTAAAAATATTATTTGTTAGCAATTTTTAATATTATTTAATTGATGAGTTGAAAAAATAAAATTGAAAGTATTGGTTTTGAAATTTGGGGAATACACTCCACTGTTTGTACATAAGCCTGCAATATATTTAAGTATTTAAATAGCTTATAAACAAAATCTTTTAAATGAAATACAACGGAGAATTATACCGTTATTTAATAACAAATTTGAAAATAATTCCAAAGTATATAATTTCAAGCCCATTTCAAGAAATGCTCAAATATTTATGTAAAGAAATTTTAGTATTAAAAAAATTAATACATTATTTTTGAGTAAACATCTAATACCTACTTAAAATTAACAAGTCCCTTACACTTATGTTCAAACGAAAATTTTTTTGATGCAAAAAATGTATTTAAATGACAAGTTCTTATATTTGTTCAATATTGTAAGTATAACTAAGTATTTATACGCAACAAGAAATAAGTAAAAAAGAAATGTTATAAATGTATACAGAGTTACACTTATGGAAGTGTAGACTGTCATGTGTCATGTCATCGCAATTAATTCTCTTTTACGAGTACTACAATACTACAATACAACTGGTTTCACTTTTCATTATCTCTTCTGTTCTACCTAAAAGCCAATACAGGTAGTGAGCCTACACCTAACCACAATTTTATATGAAATATTTGTTTTTATTTTAATACAAGATTGCATTTTAATTTCTTTTTAAATAAGTGAAGTAACTTGTTTAAAAAAACCAAAAAACAAAAAATACTTAATTTTTACTTATTTTGTATTTTTCATATTGAACTTGTTTAAAAGACGAAAGTAGCAATAGTTTACTTCTGGAATCTCAAATCTTAATTGATAAATGATTTGCAAAATAAATAAAATTTCTTATTTTGAATTAAGCGAATACACCAAAAGAAAAATATGTTTAAATGACGATTTAAAAAGCAGTTAAATTTTCAGTGAAATTGAGAAATTTAATCAATTTTTTATTTTGACATCAATATTGAAATATGTCGCATTGGTTACAATTTTATAGAGTCCAATGTATGCACATTATGTACACATTCATGCGTAAATAAGGCGGAAACATGTTTATTAATTCGTACTATACGTACGAATGTATGTAAAAATTTCAATTATCCTGAGACAGGTTGAATTTCTCCTAAATAAAAATACTTTGTATAAGGGACGGATAAAATTCAAAAAATAGAAAATTAATTTTTATTTTGTCATCTTGTAGGTAGATCAAGAAATTTTTTTAAGTTTTTACGATTCAAGATAATTTTAATCAACAATGTAAACTAACAACTTTCATAATTAACATTAAAAAATTGTTAACAATCACAAGAAATTCTAGTAATTCAGATGTACATTTCAAAGTATCAAATATTTGTCCACAATATTTGTGTTGCATTCTACTTTTACCATAAATAATAATTTTTAAATAAAACAAATTGTATGGGCGCATCTTGTAAGTCGCAGCTTGCTTTCGTGACTGTAACTGCAAAAAGCGGCGAAAATAAATATTAATTTGGTGTAGCTTCTTATATTTATTTTTATTACAACAATTATCGACTTGGCTGTTTTGCAATTTTTTTGTTTTGACATTTTGTTACAAAAAGGTGGTTTTATTGACAGTTAAACTATTTTTTTTTTTCTGTACCGCATATGCAGTCAAACCTCCATATGGCCTACAGATATAAATACATGTACATCTACACTGAGAAATGCAAGACTCCTCTAACAGCATGAAATATAGCTTAGAATGTAAAGGCTGGCTTATAAAGAAAAACTTGATATAAGTAACAATTTTCTATTTATATATATTATTTACATACATATTATATTTGAGTCCGACGAAATGCAAATATCACAAAAATATACATTCAAACGTATTTGTAAATACATAAACGATATTGTTAAGATTAATAACAAAAAAAAAATTATTTATTTGCAATAGCCATATTGTTTGCAAATTTACGAAAAAGACAAATAATTTGGTTGTAAACAACAAACAAGAAAAGTTACAATTTTCCTTTTTCAACACTTTAACACTTAGAATAAAATTTAATTTCCATTTCTAATATTAAATTTATGTCACATGCAAAACTAATAAATCTTTAATATTTTATTTTTTATTAGTTAACCATCTATGGAAAATAAAATTTTTAAAATTTAACGAATAGAATGAAAAAAAAAATCCATTTCTAACGCATTTATTTTCTCTATAGAATTCCTATATTTATTTATTCTTTATCAATAGGAAAAAAAATAAAAATTTAAAAAGAATAAAACATTAAATTTTTTCAGTATTTGTCGTCAACACTTATTATTAATGTCACTGTATATTATACGCATATTCTCACATTTATGCAACCACGTACAATGTATTTTTGTTTTAAAAACGTATATATGTATAACAATAACTTATATGGCACACACTAGTTGCATATGCCTTACTTGTTTTATGAAAAAAAGTACAATATTAGATTCACATATGAATGAAACTATTAAGAGTTCTGATAGAAAATAAACCCTCTAAATTTCATGGTAAACTCATTACCCACAATAATAATATACATATATATATATATAAATTATTTAACGACATATGTATATAATATATAGTTTGTGTACATTATATCATATGATAAGATTCTCATATAATTATACTTATATAAATATCAAAGTATAATAATTATTATTTTGCCATATATGGATATAAAGAAGGCATTTAAAGAAAAGGAAGATTATGAATAAGAAAAAAATTATTATGAAGCAAGAGATATTTGAATAATAGGATACTT